TAGAACTGGGTAGGCGGACCCATTAGCCTGGTAAGGCGACCGCCTAAGGGAGGACAACCCTGAAAAAAAGAACTACGAGCCTGGCGGTAGGTTAAAAACGCATGGGAAGGATACCCATTAAAAAAAACCCAATATGGATAGGATAACTGGAAATATTGTTACCGCCCCAGTGATATAGGATGGCACAGGGGACGTCGGCGGGGGTTCTTGTAGCCCGGCTCTCGTTGACGCCGACCAAGGGCGATGCGATGTGGAGGCCCCACAACCCAACTTGGGTATAAATAGGAAGGGAGGATTCACCATCACCGAGGAGCTGGTGGATGAATGGGCTGATATCCGAGATAGGTATAGCAACGATATACCTCTCACGGAGTCAGAATATGTGCGCTGGGAAGAAATAAGGCGCAAGATGGAGGACGGAAGCGAGGTCGAAAACTGTTTCCCTCGTCAATGATTCCGCAACCTAGGCGTCTTTAGGGGCGCAGTGGAAACCATACTGGGGATGATGGCCAGTGACGTCCAAAACGGAGGCAACTTCTCTCCGGAGCGCAAGGAGGTTTATAACCCCTTCCATGGAGTAGAAGGGGAAGAGGAGCGAGTGTGCCTTATGAGTAAGTGCGTCTCCTCCCTTCGAGGTGAAAGCACAGCGGACCGTGCGATCCAAANTGAAAGCAAAGCGGACCGTGCGATCCAAATTGCTCGGCTGGTCAGCCGGGAACTGTTGACGCGCCATAGGAAGGATCCGATGATGGAAGCAATGGGGATTGGACTCCGGGATGTCGTTGATGTGTTCGACTACGAATGCGTCGTCGCGGAAATGGCACCCGGAGTTGTGGAGGAATCGTCCGAAGGAGACAATAGTCTATCCGAGGACGAAACAATGAGGACAGGTGTTAGGCCTGGTGTGAGTGGTGTTGAGCCTTCTCTCGGGCAGGCGACGACCGCTCCTTGCCGTGAGGTCTCCCCACCTTTGAGCCCCCTGCCGGAGGAGACGCCCCCAAAGCGTTACCCCGGGAAGAGGAAGGCGCCACTTCGTAACGAAGAGAGTGATGATGAAGCGACATTCGATGTCGGATTGAATCATGTCGTCGGCCTGACCAGACAGGCCGAAGTGGAGGGTAGCCTCATGAAAGAGGTTCCAGGTACTCATCTGCAGTACTTACTGGAGCAGATATCTCTTTCTTGCCAAGCGCTGACCGAACTTCGAAGTTCGGACATGCCACGCCGTAAGAAGAGGCATGACTCCGAGGAAGAAGCAACCGCGCAATCGGCTTTGGTTGGAAACATAGCGGGACAAGTCGCAGTGCTCCGCGGAGTCATTGATAAGCGTAGAGGGATGGGCGTCNACGAAGTAGAGGGTAGCCTCATGAAAGAGGTTCCAGGTACTCATCTGCAGTACTTACTGGAGCAGATATCTCTTTCCTGCCAAGCGCTGACCGAACTTCGAAGTTCGGACATGCCACGCCGTAAGAAGAGGCATGACTCCGAGGAAGAAGCAACCGCGCAATCGGCTTTGGTTGGAAACATAGCGGGACAAGTCGCAGTGCTCCGCGGAGTCATTGATAAGCNTCAGTGCTCCGCAGAGTCATCGATAAGCGTAGAGGGATGGCCGTCCACAAGGAAGTCCAGGAGGCGACCAAGAAGCTGGAGGAAATCCTGGCTACGGAAAAGCGCAGGAGAGCGACACCGCGCTCGGGGACCATTGTAGCCTCGCCGGAAAGGGGTTCTGGTACGTTAGCTCCGGTTTTCGCGAAACGGAAGCCGACAACGGACGCGGGAACGCAAACGGCGGTTGGACCGCAAACAAACAGGCCCGGGACGTCTGATATGGCGTTGAGGAGGAATGTGGCCACACAAACAACGGAGGAGCTCCCAAATCCCAGGTCAGATCCGCTGACGAAGCCTGGGAAGAAGCGAAAGAAGAAGAAGGAGAAGAGACTGAACACTGTCGAGGGTACGGCCTCCTCGCCGACCATTACGCTTCCCGAGAAGNGGGGACGTCTGTTATGGCGTTGAGGAGGAATGTGGCCACACAAACAACGAAGGGCCCCCAAACCCCAGGTCAGATCCGTTGACGAAGCCTGGGAAGAAGCGGAAGAAGAAGAAGGAGAAGAGACTGAACACTGTCGAGGGTACGGCCTCCTCGCCGACCGTTACGCTTCCCGAGAAGCATTCGGATCGGGGGACTGCTGCTGCAAAGTCCGCTCCGGCGAGTGTGGACACAGGAGCGGAGACGGAGAGGCCCACTTGGACGGAGGTGGTTCGTCGCAAGGGTGAACTGGGGAAGACCGAGGAAACGGCAACTAGGCCTAGACCTCCACCGCCTACACGAGGTCCGACCGCAAAAAAGTTGCGGGCGAGGGTCCCTCGTACGGAGGCTGTGATTATCGGCCCTTTGAAGGGGGACTTGAAGTATGCCGAAGTGATGAAGACGGCGACGGCCTCTGTGGACCTTCTGGCCTTGGGTATCCAGGTGTCTGGGACCCGGAGGACTCAGACGGGGGCCGTTCTGCTGGAGGTTCGAGGAACCGCCGAGAAAGCGGATTTACTAGCCGCCAAGTTGGAGGAGGCGCTCAAAGAGAAGGACGTGCGGGTGCATCGCCCTTCGATGACCCGCACTGTCCTAATCAGGGATGTGGAGGACTGGCACGAAGAGGACGAGGTGCGTCGGGCCCTAAGCGACGCTCTGGAATGTCCAAGTGTTGGGCCCGTTATCATACGGCCTAACATTGGAGGCAAGGGGCGTTACGCGAGATGCGACGTGCCCGTCAAGGTTGCCATTCGGCTTACCACAGTGAGCCGAATAAAAGTCGGCTGGACAAACTGTAGACTGAGGATCATTGACAATGGTCCTCAGTGCTACAGGTGTCTGGAGCATGGGCACATTGCCCACAGCTGTAAGGGCCCGGACAGGTCAGGGAACTGTCACAGGTGCAGAAAAGGTGGGCATATCGCTAAAGAGTGCCCATCAAGGATGGACCCAACCCATCGCGAAGTCCTGCCCCCACCTCCGCGTGGTGCAGCCCGGGCAACGGACCCACCAGTGGGGTCCGGCTAACGGGGGAGGCAGCACCGCGCTGTGATCCGGCCCCGGATTAAGTTCGGGCCGAAGCACAGCGCGGTGGCAGAAGTGTTAGAAAGCGACGTAGGCCGCCTCGAAGCAATGCTTAACGGCAGTCCCGGGGCGGTCTGCATGAAGTCGGCTGTAAGGAAGAAAAAAAAAAAAAAAGGTAATTTGTTTTCGGTGTTACCTTCACCTAGGTGGTTGCCTTACCAGGCTATCGGGCCCACCCGCCCGTTATGAAATTACCCTCGATCGCTACCGCTTATTCATCCACTCTAGGAGTGGCTTATATCACGGCTACCCTGCATATCTACAGGCCGTTCCTCTATACGCAACCTGAGGACGCGCCCGATTCCCCGATCTAGGGAAACTGCGCTCGTTAAAACTTTCACTTTAAAGGACAATAAAAAGTAGGTTCAACATTATTACTTTTAACATATTAAAAATTAAAATCAATAATAATTTGAAAACAATTAACTTTAAAAATTATATAATATATAATTAAAAGAATTACTAATCTGGGTATAATTAAGGAAATAGAAGTTGATGTTGCTTTTGTAATTATCCATCAATTTCTTAGAATTAAACACTATCTTTAGATTTGTATCGAAGCGTTTCTTATGATAGTGATTTTAATCATTGTCAGATTAAATCTATACTGGACCCAACTATACAACGTCTCCACTGTGCCGCGACCCCACTGTGCTAGGTTTTTTTTAGTTATTAATTCATAATAAATAAATGTGTTTTTTGTATCTATTAAATTGTATGTTCTGTGTTTTGAATAATATGTAACATAAAAAAATGTACAAGTATTATTAATTAAACATTAAGTTAAAATGCAGCGCTGTACAGTGGACTTTCTCCTAACTGAAAAAATGGCAATAAAGCTGTAGCGTAACGCTACAGAAGTTATCTTGTGGTATTTAACAATCAAAAATGTTTATCAAGACTCTCAGTTAACTTCCGAGAGATCTTAGAACATGACTAGATATCAAATTAGCACTTTGACTGGTTACTTACAGTACATGGTCATCTTCATAAACATTTGACAATGGTTGTAGGGGGGTGACAGAATCACCACTGCACAAATAGGGTGAAACAGAAGTCGAAGATTTATTTCATATTAAGTGTGAATGTAAAGCCCCAAAAAAACCCAAAGAGATACTTAATTCTATCAGACAGATAGGAATATTTGAACATAGATATTCAACAATGGCAAGAACATTTCGGTGGAAACATTTATGTAAAGATACCGAATTAATGTAATTCTGTAAAAGGTGTGTACAATGGAACTACAAGTCTGGGTGCATGAGCCTTTTTTGACCATCTTTCTAACAACTAAAATTGCAACAAGTATTAGCTTAGCTCTTATCACAGTTAGCTGCAATACTATTTTTTATAATAATACAGTGTCGTAATATAGTTTTGTACCTATCAATAATCTTTTTTTTTAATAAAATAAGGTAATTTATACCATTATTGATTATTTAAATATGATGGTAATTAGATAATTAAAATACTCTTTTATAATCATCGATAAGAAAAACAAATTTGTTTTTTTTTAAATTTAATCGATTAATTTGATAAATATATACTATATTAACTAGATAAAAAATTGAATTCATTAACTTAATACAGATAAAAATTAAAACGATTATTTTTAGCTGAATTTGAATATTTTTTTTTTAATTATTTTTTCTTAAGCTAAATATTTGTTCGTTATTTAAATTTATTTCATACTCATCCAGAGTCAGCCTGAGCCTAAGCCTATAATTAGTTTTTAAATGTTATTGGAGTTTTTTTGCTAAAGAATAGTATCAATAAAAATTGATATTAATGACATTATTATTTTTATATAAATTATTTATGATTTTATTGTTAATGATTTATTTCTAACCGTGCAAAGTATGGGTTTCAGTCTAATAAATAATAAAACAATATATTTAATGGTTTTGTTTAATAATAAATATCATTACACATAACTTTTTTGTTTTTTTGATAGCCGACTATATGTTTATGTGTTATTAAAATAATGTTACCAATACATAAATTCTATATTGGTACACTTACAAACTATCCAAAAATTGTAAACGTATGTCATAAAACATGTTAAACATAACCCATTTATTGTGCAAACATGACAATACTTGAAATACGTTAATAAACAAATTTATTAAAAAATAAACAAAAAAAATAGTTTTACTAATTTAATAATTCTAAAGCATTATTTTACTCAAAAGAAAAGTATATAATTATTTAAATATATAGGCGAATTGGGAAACATATTTTGAGATTTTTGACTTTCATTAGCTGCATTTTTGTTGTTATGAACATTTTGATGACTTGTAATATTCAATTGAATATCTTGATTTGAATTTTTTCTTCTTATAATTCCAATTAGAGTATTATTAGAGTCGTTTATGTTTTTTAATGAAGAATACACATCCCTTTTACATAACTGATCTAAAATTAATATATAATGTTAATTTTTGGTAAAATATTTCAAACTAATCATTTCAAGTTGTCCCGGTAATTTCCGTGATTCAACAATTAATACATACAAATGTATTTCATATTATTGAACAGTATTAAAATAATAACGATCTATTAATTAATAGTAGTAGCTAATCTAAATATTGGGAAAATAATTTTATTTTAAGAAAAAAAAAACCAAAATTGTGTTATATCTACATTAACTAAAATGATTGCCTGTAATCTATGTTTCCCCTTAACATTACTTTCCTCAATTATGTTAAATTTGTGCTTGTTTTGTTATAAAATTAGATTGAAAGCTTATTTGTGAGACTCATAGATTAGATGGAGTAAAGGAGAAAATAAAAATAGAGAGTAAGTTTCTTTAAATAATTGGATTTTTATAAAATATGGCAATTATAAAACAAGGAGGTCATTGTTAACTTATTAAAAAAATCCCTAGTAATTTCAAAATATTTCTACTCTTGTAATAATCTGAGGTATAAGTACATAGTTTTTTATTTTAATTATTTATTTTTTGATAAATAAGACAATTACAACAATATTGGAGAAAAAATTTAGTAATTCAATTTTAATAAAATAATATATAAACGTTTTTTATTTCAAAATAGGTATAAATTATACTATTTGAAAGCTGTGTTGGACATTTACCCCAAGTCAAAATTTAATCTTTATATTCCATACTAAATGTTTTGTAAAACTATATCATTATTCAATATTGATTAAAAAACTTGTATATGTTCTATATAGAAATTTAAACCACATAATTCACATCTTAAAAATTGTTTTATAAAATTAAAATAGTAAACCTAATAAGTGGAATATATTATAAACATTTTACAGTTTATATGATGTTTTTATTATACATTGTGTAAATATGATTAACGATGTACAGGTGCGTTATCAAGATATGGCTAATAAAAAATATTCGATCTAATAATTATTTCGCAGTAGATTTTTTTTAAAACCTTTTTAAATTTTTATACTACATTAAAATCATATAACAGTGTTAAACAATATAGCATAAATATAACTATTATCATAAAATGGTATATTTGAAAAAATGAATTTTTATATTTTGTTATTTAAAATAAATGATAAAAATATGTTTTTCATGTTACCTGAAAGTATAAAAATTATTTTAGAAAAACACATCATAGTAAAATAAATGCCTTCTTAGTTACACATTGAAGTAGAAATAACTGCAAAATGATTATTAGCTCAAAAGTGTATAAATCTGTCATATATTCTAACTTGTTTTTTAATATAACTGTTCCATTTTTCTTTGAAATTAAAACAAAAAAATTAATACGATAAATTGATAAAAAATTCTTGTTAAAAAACAAATATTAAGAACATTACTATTATAATAATAATCAACCACTCTGTATGTCTCAACATATTATTATATTCAATATGAGGTCTTCTATAGTCCAATATAGTTAAATAAATAATTATCTAGTTGTTTATTTGTCATTTTAAAACTAATTTTTTAATTATTATTTAAGGACATGTTTTCTAAAAATAAAAAAAACAAAATAAACGTAATTATAACTTTTTGAAATATTACCAATTGTAGATGGATGTAAAATATATGCCTTATTTCTTAACCTAACATCAACACTAAAAGTAATTTTAATTGCATTAAAAAATTGTAAGTTCTTTTTCAGCTCTAAAATGTATTCCTTGACATGTTCCAAATAATTAATCAATTCTGTATAAAAAGTATCAATATTACCAATTGTTATGTCTTCATGTGAAATTGTATTTTCTATCTTATTATCATTTAAAAACTTATTTAATAATACCGAAAGATCAGAAACTCTTAAATTATATTCATTTGTACTCATATTAATAAAAGTGTTAACTAATATATTGAGTTTTGAAAAAATAATGTTGAAAAATTTAGTTGGATCAGTCCCAAAAATGTCCATAGCAATGAATTCTCGTAGGTACTCAATGGTTTTTATACCAATAATGATCATATTATTATAAAATGTTTTTGCAATTCCATTTGACAAATTGAAATTATATATAACAATTGAACCACTGAGAACCTTTATGTAATATTTTATGAGTAAACCAATAGGGCGAAATGTTGCTGTCATTACAAGTGTATGAAATGAATGTACATCAAGTTTGTAAAAACTATACTTGACAAATCTGAATATATCAAATAGTGTAACTTGACTTCCGCCCTTACAATTTATAGTCAAAGGTGCAAACCGAAGTATATCTAAAACACACTTAGGCCGATTATTTTTTGTTATTTGATAATGACGAGACTGTGAACCTGATAATAAGTCTCTTTCGGATACTTGCTGTCCATTCATCATAAAATCATAAAGAAGTATTTTTTTTGGTAAAAAATCGATGTACTCTCCTATATTATAAGTTAATTTAAAAACTTTATAAATAAAACTGTTTCTCAACATTTCTATATTAGGTTCAGTAATGTTTTGTCGTTCGTCAATTTGAAGTAACCTATTTTTAAGTTTATTTGTAGATAAATTTAAGTTTTCTAAAGTATAACTACCGGTATCATTGTAATCAGGACACGTAATAAATACAATATCATAGGAAACTTCTTTACATACATTCTGTATCAAATTTTCTAATTGTACTAAAATAAATTTATGAAGATTAATGTAGCCTTCAAGCATACTTGATTTTAGATCTGAAAGATCTATTTTGCCTTCCTCATTTGTTGCAAGCATGTCCGTGTATCCCGAAACATTATTGAAGTATAAATTTAGTGTCATTAACTCTTTTGAGAAAAAGTTAGTGAAGTTTTCAATATTAAATTTTCTTAATACATCTAACATTACCATGACAATTTCGGCATGACTTTGGATTGAGATTCCATATAATTTTAAATCCGATTCATTGTACATATTCTTGTTGATATTAATTTCGTTTAAATATCGACCATTATGATTAAAATAATTCAACATGTACATGGTAAAATTGCACTGAAGATCACTAAACAAAAGTCCTAGAGTGTAATTGATGAGTATTAATACAATAATATTTTTAAATATCATTTTGAATTTCATTAACTAGAAACTACTATACTGTACTTATTACAAAGAATATTATTCAAAATATTTTATAGTTTTATTCATATCTATTTAGTGTAATCATTTATAGTGAATCCTTATTTGTTTAGGTGAAAATTCAAAATCAATTTATTTATGCTACATAAAATATTATTCATATAAACGAAAAATAATATCCCACTATTGTAGATTCAGCTTATAATGTTTCATTCCTTTGAATAGTCACTTATTTTTTGGTCTAAGAAAAAGAAAGACTTAATATAGAAAAATCTATTATTCAAATTTTTTAAGTTTAAAACATACTTTGTAATATTATATTAGCTCTGATAATATTAGTTATTATCGAGGTTGACATAATGCCCATGCACTCAGACCTGTTGGTCCATTGTGCGCATCTGATAATATTAACACAAAATATGATTTTATTATTTGTACATCTAGGTCCTATATTAAGAACTAACAAGATTACCAAAATATCATTTCTTACTTTAAAACAAAAATACAAATTAACTATGGAATAAAATCGAATTATTGTGTAGATTTAAAATCACAATTATGAGTAGAGCCACAATTAAGTCCAGTCAATTACATTTAACAATTAATTAAATTTTCCTTCTTCTAACTCTGAAAAAATACACAATTTTTATTTTAAAAACAAGTTTAACCTATTAAAACAAGTTTATTTGGTCATTTTAAAATATTAAATCTTCAAGTCTTAAGATTCTAATGCTCTGTGATATAAAAATCAGTTAATATTTTTATTATCGAACTTTTTTTTTAATTATGTAATTTTTAAAACAAACATTACCCAACTACAAATATTCGTTTAATGGTATTGTTACGTCGCTATTTAGGGGTTCAGCCTAATGCCCGTCAACAGTATTCTAAGGGACCAACGGGGGATAGCTGGCTAGGCTATATCTATCTAAGTTACTGAGGTTTCCTATTTAATTTATATTCCCTTAGAGGAACTACCAAGGGTCGCACTACAATATATATAGATATATAACACTCTTAGTTAACAACGATATAAATAAATATTTATTAAATGATTGAAATATTAAATAGATAATACAACCTGCTGGACACCTAGAGATGATATAATCCAATAGAGAGCTGACGGCGACACACACACACACTATATAAGTTATATGTGGTTAATATGTAAAACATACCGTTAGATTATTTAGATTAAGGAACAGGGATAAAATACACGCGAAACCTTAACTTACTCACGCAATAAAATGAATATTACAGTTAAAATTAAAAAGAAAATTTAATTTAATAGTTAAAAAAAAAATTAAGTTAAACATGGACAAAAATACAAATGTATCAAAAACCATGTCTACAAATAAAGGCAATAAAAATAAAATAAAATATTTAAAAAAAAATACAAATAATAGTACAAACATCACGGACGGTATTGGAAAAAATCCGTTAATAATTATCGGAAATTAATGAAACACACCAGGAGCGGTCTGGGCACTCGCTCCTTAGGGTTGGCTAGAAGAAAAGGGAAACACGTGCTCTCCACACATAAACAAAATTAAGTTAATCTATAATAAAAAAAATTAAATAAAATAATTAATATAATACAGCTCATCACATAAATATAATTATAAAACAGAAAACGGACACCCGGTCCCGAAGAGACCCATCCGTTGGTTTGGATGCTTTGCTCAAAGACCTAGCCGTTCGGCGTTGACGGCTCTACTCCATCATTGAAAAAAGTGACAATAAGACATAAAACATGTGCACTCTAGCTCGGTCAATGGCAGAAGAAGAATGAAGAGCTAACACCGACCAAACGGCAATTTCAAATGGATAACGGCCAATCTTTTTGAGAGGGATCAATACCGACAAACAATTCGATTTTAATTATATTTATTTTCTTTTGTCGCCTTATCTAGCGGTCAGCGGCAAAAATAATGAGTGATTGACACCATTATGTACAGAAAAAGGTTCTTTCGCGCGATAAAATAAATAAGTACACATAACAAAAAATTATAAACAGTCCACCTTTGAATTTGTGACGTTATAAGGTCATAATTTTCTGAGTTTAAATTCAAATATAAATTAACGTAATATTAAATTAGGCTGCCACAATACTAGCTTGATAATACTTTTACATAGATGAAACATATGCACAGTTCATTCAATACACAGAATGAACGTTGCATTACTTAAAATATTGTTGACATTGGATATGAGGTAAGTACAAATTTAATTTATGCTTTCAAACCACAATTTCTTACGTAAAAAATCATTAAAATAAATTATAAAATACAATTTTGGCAGCAATGTACATTAAATATAATTTTTTTTTTTTCAATATTATACAGTTAACAATTCAAATTGTATTGTACAGAAGAGTTTTTCTTAGAAATCCATTTTTTTTCGGGTATGTCCCTAGTATCGTATTTGGATTAATAATTTTTAATAGATGGAAAAAATGCGTTCTTCTGTGTCTGTGGCATTTCGTTAGTATTGCCCTAATATATTCGTCGCTACCATTAACATGAGATAACACTATGCTATCCTGTTTGTGTCCACAATAATGGTATCTTATTAATTTTTTTTCGTTTAAAATGATCACCACTTTTATTTATACATTATGAGTATATTCTTAGAAAAACAAATTATTTTTCAAACAAAAATTATAAATAAACAATTTTGAGAAACATTCAACAAACACATGTTGTTTAGTTATATTGTAATATACACAATTCAATCATAAATCAATTAAAAGTCACTATTAAAATCCTTTTTTCCAAAAAGAAATCTATAAATTATTTTTTTTATTCTAATTTTTATAATTAAATGCATTGTATCAACCTTAATATTATGTGTTAAAAACTATGTTGATGCTATATATAAAATATCAAAATGATTTATATATTCTATTCATCTGTATTAATTTCTGTATTTTATGCTTACATATCAATAAAGAGTTATACTGTAAGAATTAGACAATGATGATTTTCGGGGGTACAAAATATTATAAAAAGACAGAGCAAATTCCTTTTCTCCCCTGTTCATTTCGTGCTCTAGACATTGTAACGAGACAAGTTATTGGTGTCTAGCGACATCTAACTAATGATTGGGTAATTATTAAGGGAAAATACACTTGCACAGATAAACAATAGAGTGTGCTTAAGTCAAGTCAGTAAATAGGCACAGTCTAATTATTCTTTTATTCTAATTTATTCATATTATAAATGATCATTATGTGTACATGTCCGTAGAAACTTTCACGCATACGCAATAAAAAAGTTTATAAAAAACTTTATGTCTATTATATAAAAATCAGTGTTTTAATATGTTAAACTAAAATGAGTTACAAGTTGAGGAGGACTGTATGTCCGTTCTTATCTAGCAAATAATCAGGAATGCGTAAAACGATGATTAAAAAATGATTAAAATCATTATTCAGCCAGGAGACAATGATATCGTATAATAGCTTGGATTTTACTTATAACAAAAAATTTAAAACAATATCTATGCACAAATGTTGGTAGTTCACAATTTAAAAAAAAAAAAATAATAATAGTAGTATTATTAGCACATAATATTTTAAATACATTAAAAATAATATTATGAAGTAATAAATAAAATTCATATATGATAAAATTTCAAGTTCATTATGGTGTATTATAATTTTATTTACTCGTTTAATATCATGCTCTATTATCAAGAAATACTTTTATGAACAACTTGTTATTATAGAAATGTATCAATAACAAAAAGTTAACTAATTATCTTTGTGGAAATTTATTTTTGAACTCATTTTTGAGTTTGAATTAATCATTGACGAATATTTTAGCACACTAAAACATTAGATTATGATTTTAGTGTACTAATAGAAATTCTTCTTATTAAAAATTTTTCATGTAAATTCCTTTTTTAAAATAATGTAATTTTGAGATATTTTTCAAAATTTTTAAAATTGAGGGGACATTTCCATTTTTTTATGACAATATGTTAAATTATATTAAAGTCGAGTTATATTGACGTATTAATTATTAAAATTGATTCAGCGAGTGGTGAGAATTTTTATGGATAATCATAAAAAACAAACGCAAACTATCACAAATCTTCTTAGCTTCGTATAAAAACTAATAATTAAATTTTAAGATAAGTTTTATGAGTTATATCATATTAATTTTTGCACAAAATCCTCATGAAAAATTAATTAGGAATTTTATATTATAAAATTTTCTAGTAGACGTAGGTGTAACTAGGGAGCTAGAAGATTCAGCTCTTTAGTAGACAAATTAGATCTCTAAAAATGTAGGAAATTGTGTAGAAATAATATATACAATTATATTAAAATATTTTGAAATGAGGGAATAATACTTTTAGCCCTTATGGACGTAGTTCATTAATGAAACTTTATATAACATATTTTATTCTTCTAAATGTTTGCACAAATTCTCTTTAAATCAAAACTACAGAAAATAACGTTTTATTAATTTAACTAGAAAATATATGTACATTATCATATTGTAATTAGTTTTGTGACATACTAATGAATAAATCTTCTGCTATATTTAATCTCATTGTTGTTTATAACATACCAACATTCAATTACACTAAATCGTTGTGTTTTAGTATGTTAAACAGATTAATACACCAATATAAAATTCAAAAATAGATCCACAGTGGTTCTATTTTTTCTGGCCTCTTTAAAAGTACTTAAGAATTAATAACTTAAACAATAATTTCTAAAATTTTAATGTATAAAAAAATAAAAATAATATTTAAGAAAGCTACTTTATAAAGTAGATTTTAAGTAAAAATTTAGTAAGTTACATCTTATTAATTTTCCGTAATAAATTTTCTGTGGGTTTTAACATTTTTGAAAATTAGAATTTGTTGTGTTTTTTTTATAATATCCAACATTGAAATATATATCGAGAAAAGATTAAAGGAAAATAATTTTTTCATGGAAAATAATGGTTATAGGTGTGTAATTTTTTCCTTAAAAAATATCACTATAATTTTAATTATTACTTATTATAAGATTTCTTTGGTATTAATTAATTA